CTCGACCTCTTCCTCCCCCTCACACAACGTCCTCCTAATCCTTGTGCGACCTCCTCCCCCTCACGCGTCCTCCACCCACCTCCTCATCCCCCTCGCACGGCCTCCTCCTCCTTGTCACGATGTCTGCTTCCCCCTCGCATGACCTCCTCCCACCTCTCTTCCGACCGCTCTTCCGACCTCCTCCTCCTCCTTGTCGCGACGTCCGCTTCCCCCTCGCACAACTTCCTCCCCCTTGTGCGACCTCCTCATCCCCCTCGTTCCGACCTCCTCCTCCCCCATGCGCGTTGTCCTCCTCCCCCTGGCAACCTCCTCCCTACAACCTCTCCCCTCCTCCATGAATTATCATCGTCTGCCATGCTTATCGTCCTCCTCCTTTTCGTCCCTCTTTCTCCTTTTGTTGCATCCTCCTCTTCTTTCCTCCATTCTCATCATCCCCTCGCTCCTCCTCTTTTTCGTTGTTCCTCCTCGTCCTCACTGCTCCTCATGCTGCCTCCTTTGTTTCGATCGGCCCAAACATGCTTCTCCCTCTTCATCCTCCCTCTTTCTCCCACCCTTTCTGCTCTGAGCACACACGTGCCACATGCCCCAAATGTCTTTCTCCCTCTTCCTCCTCCCTCCTCCTGCGTTGATCCTCCCGCCTCCATCACATCTTTCCATCGCCGCCCTTTTCCATATCGACGCGGCCCCCGCCCGGCACCATGGACTGGCGGGAAACAGAACTGAATGGGGGGGTTGAAAGAAAAACCGTGGCAGCGGGGAACGGGACTTTGTGTCCTTCCAACACTGCAGAGCGGGGCGTGTCGCGTGGAACCGCCACACCGAATTTCCCTCACTCCCGTCCGCAGTCCCGCCATGAAACGCCGTGGCCGATTTACCTTGCCCCAGTCCCGCCCGCCTCCACACCAAATTTCACTGGGCCCAGCGGGAAGCGTCAGGCTGGGCCCTTTGCATTCTTTAAGAGTACAAGTGGACCTGCCGCAGCTACGCTGCGGCGAAGGACAACGACAAAAACATTTTGTGAAACACCCCAGACTTCGGTTGGTACCCCTGCCGGACACCATCCGACTTTGCAAAATGCCCCGGTAACTGCCAACTTTTCGTGGTTGCAATTGCAAAAGGCCAGGGCCCAGTTTTCAGGGAGCCGCGGCTCTGAGGTGGGGGTGAGATGAAACGACGAAGGAGGGCCACGTCAGCCAAACCGCAACACCAAGCATTCATGGTAAAAAAAAAAAAA